TATTTTTTTTTTGTAAATCAACACTTTTTATGAGAAACGTTTTTCGGCCGTGTGCTTTATCCTTTATCGTCAGATGTGGGACAGGATGGGATAATGATATAGATAATGATATAGACATTATGTGATATCACAATTAATGCTTTGCATCCATGAAATTGAATCACAATGTCATTGTATTAATTCATAATAAAAATTGACGTCAAACGAGATGTTGAATTTCTCTGTTTAAAAAGCTCAATGTGTATTATATACACCAAAATGACGATAGAGACCGTGCGGGAAGGGGGGGGGGATACATTGCCTCAGGAACCTGGCAAACACCCTCCTGCAAAAATTCCTGGATCCGCCCCTGCATATCTAGATACAGCTTATTCTTAACAGTATTTCTAGTGATGATTTACTGTTAGTACAACTTCGAGCCAGACTAGCATCCTATGGCGAGAGTGTCTTTACATTTTATGCACCGTTACTTGGGAACAAATTACTTTATCTTATTCGGAAATCGTTCTTGAAAACTCATTTATTCAAACACGCTGTTTACTGATTTTACAGATTTGACTGTTTTATCTGTAGTTAAATTTTTTTATATCATTTCTACACTGTCTTTCTCTTTTTACTGTTTTTAGGAGCTGGTTTTTTTGTTATTTTTTATAAATTGTCTTTTTTATCATACATTGTATTTTTTTCTGGAAAAATGTGCTATCTAAATGTATTAAATAATAATAATAATTAGAAGTGCGATGCAGTAATGACGGGTTTCACCGGTGCCACGTTACTCTTGAACTTAAGTCACTTCCGGTGCCACTTTACCCTTGAACCGGTGTCACTTCCGGTACCTATGAAACCGCTAAACAGATTTCCACATAAGCATTGCACACGTGTTATAAAATTGGCACAGAATCAAACAAATCCAGCTACATCAATTCCATTTATACATTTGTTACCATGTGTTACATATGTCAAAAAAGTGAACCTGACAAAATTTGTTACTAACTTACTGACAAAATTGGCAATTTCTCGACAAGGGAAGATGCTAGAAGTAATTGTCGTCGCCCCTGTCCGTCCACAATTTGTTTGTGGACACTCTACAAGTCACAATTCTTATCCGATTTTGACGAAATTTGAAATATAGGTTTATCTCCAAACGATCTCGGTTCCTTTCGATATTGCCATGGATCGGATCGAAACTTCATGGATTATGGCCCCTGATTGTACGAAAAATCACGTTTTTAGCTTGTGGACACTCTAGAGGTCACAATTTTTATCTGATTTTGTTGAAATTTAAAATGTAACTTTATAACCCAAAGATCTTGGTTCCTTTCGATATTCGCGCATATCGGACCGTAACTTCCTGAATTATGGCCCCTGATTGTACGAAAAAATCGCGTTTTTTAGCTTGTGCATGGGCCCTATAGAGGTCACAATTTTATTCAGATTTTAAAAAAAAAACGTTTGAATATATCACCGTTACACCTTAATGATGGTTGAGTTCGAATATCGTGAAAATCGGACCAAAACTGCCGGACAAAATGGCCGCCCCTCGAACACAATACCAAGGTTGTGAACCCTCTAGAACTCCTAATTTTGATCCGATTTTGATGAAACTTGAAATACATGTTTATAACCGAAAGATCTTGGTTCTTTTCGATATTTGCGCATATCGGATCGTAACTTCCTGAATTATGACCCTTGACTGTACGAAAAATTTCGTTTTTAGCCTGTGGTCCCTCTAGAGGTCACAAGTATTATCTGATTTTTAAAAAAAAACGTGTGAATATATCACCATTACACCGTAATGGTGGTTGAGTTCAAATTTCGTGACAATCGGACCAAAACTGACGTACAAAATGGCCGCCCTCGTATAACGCATATGGTGTAAATATGTGGTATATCAAGGTTGTAGACCCTCTAGAGGCCACAATATTTTTCCGATTTTGATGCAACATTAAATTTTATGCTTATATCACGAAGGTCTTGGTTCCTTTCGATATTCGCGTTTAACTTCCCGAATTATGGCCCTTAGTCGTATGAAAAATTGCGTTTTAAGCTTGTGGTCCCTCTAGAGTTAACAATTTTTATCCAATTTAAGTTGAGTTTGAATTTCGTGAAAATCGGACCAAAACTGCCGGACAAAATGGCCGCACCTCGTACGCTTATGGTGTAAAAATAATTATGGTATATCAAGGTTGTGCATGACTCTCTAGAGGTCACAATTTTCACCCGATTTTGATGAAACTTGAAATGCGTGTTTATAACCCGATGATTTTGGTGCATTCCGATATTCGCGCATATCGGATTATAACTTCCTGATTGTACGAAAAATAACGTTTTTAGCTTGTGGTCCCACAAGAGGTCATAATTATTATCTGATTTTAAAAAAAAAAAAAAACATTTGAATATGTCACTGTAACACCGTATTGTTGGTTGAGTTCGAATTTCATGAATATCGAACCAAAACTGCCAGACAAAATGCCCCCCCTCCCCCCGTACGCAAATAGTGTAAACATCTGGTATATCAAGGTTGTGGACCTGTAGAGGTCACAGTTTTAATCCGATTTTGATGACACTTGAAATGCATTATTATAACCCAAAGATCTTGGTTGCTGTCGATATTCGCGCATATCAGATCGTAACTTCCTGAATTATGTCCCCTGAGTGTACGAAAAATCGTGTTTTTAGCTTGTGGTCCCTCAAGAGGTCACAATTATTATCTGGTTTATATAAACGTTCAAATACATCACCGTTACACTGTAATGTTGGTTGAGTTCGAATTACGAGAAAATGGGACGAAAAATGCCAGACAAAATGGCCGCCCCTCAACGCAAATAGTGTAAACATCTGGTATATTAAGGTGGTGGGCCCTCCGGAGGTCATAATTGTGATCCGATTTTAATGAAACTTGAAATGCATGTTTATATCTCAAAGATCTTGGTTCCTGTCGAAATTCGCACATATCTGATCGTACCTTCCTGAATTGGGGCCCTTGATGTTACGAAAAATCGCTTTTTGTTTAGCTTGTTCTCTATCCATCTCTTGAAAAATTTGGTTGGACATCTATATGATCGTATTGATCAAATATATATGTCCATGTGAATCAAATATCATAATGTTAAACGAATAATCAATTTAACTCACTTCAAAACATGTTTTTAAGACTAAAAATGTTCTTGCCAAAATGAAATATTGGCTTTTATTTTATACAAATCAGACAATAAATAATTAACCTAGAATTCATAAACTATAATTAAAATGCGAAATGAACTGAAATAGGGTTTAACGTCCTCCTGTTCTGCTCCGAACTGGAAATTAAAAAGCGAGAAAATCTTAAAAAAGTGATCCTGACAAAATTGGTTATTTCTCAGCAATGATTCATTCTATTTGTCCACTGGCATAAAAAAAAAAATCATAACTTTATACGAATAATGAATATCACTTACTTATATACAGCCTAAAAATACAGTTTTTGCCAAAAGGCCATTACTTCCGGTGATAATGAAAATGTTAAATTATCACATGATGAAAATTTTATAATAATTGACACTTTTATGGACCAAAAACCTTGAAAAGTGACCTGTTGAAACCATCTATATGATCGTATTGTATTAGTTGATTGGAAACAAATATCAAAATTTTAAACAAATAACAAATACGATTTATTATTTGTTTCGAAGGCTATAAATACAGTTTTTGTCCAAATTAGGTCATTTCCGGTGACATTAGAAAACGTTAAATTGGTTTGACCTAGTTAAAATTGACATTACGCATTAAAGGGCGCCACTTTTATGAAAATTCAATAATAATTGACTCTTTTAACTAGCGTAAAAAGTGACTCATGCAAAATTGGCCATTTCTCGGCAACTGCTCATATTACAAACTAAATTTCACATACATTCTCCTCGTATGGATTATTGCTACAAGTTTATGAAAGTTTCACCTTTAAATCGAAATGACACGAAAACGAAATCGAAATTAAGTCTGATGTTTTCTGCGCCTTAAACAGGGCAAACTCATTCAGCCATACCAGATTTGAAAAAAATAATATTTGCTTTCAAAAAGTGGTACCGAACTGTAAAAATTGTAGTTTTTGCCAAATTTACGTCACTTCCGTTGCCGAAAGGCAACTTTACCGGTAACAAAAAAAATGACATTTTGGACAACGGAGCATATAAACTTTTTTTTCAAATTGAACAATAAATAATTACTCCAGGACTGACAAACTGAATTAGCCAATGGCGGCCAAGCTAAAATACAGCGACGCGCGAAAGACAGCGTTGCTTTTTGAAGGGCGACGTCATGTTAAAAAGTCGATGTCGCTTTTTTTTTCTCTACAGCTTAACATTGAAAAAAGCGACGCACGCTGCGTAGCGCGTCGCCCATCAAAGAGTGGCCGAAATAAAACACCATACTACATAGTGACTAAATAGTTAAACGTCGTCTCACAGTAATATTTAATGTTTACATCCGAAATGACATTGCGGTCTGTTATGACGAATTATAGAAACAATGCATAAAGAGCAAGATTTTTCCTCAACAGATTCGTTCCGTGTTTTAGCAACACCCGTTTGTATACAAATACAAATTATTTATAATCGCCTACTTATGAAAGATACTCTTAATGAATATCCACCTCTCCAATCTTCATTAGTCTCGGAGCAAAACAGTGGGACGTTAAACCCGATAGAATAGAATATAATTTTTTATTGTATGGAAACGCCCTTTGATGAAAACATACAAATACAAATTTATGGACAGGTACACAAATATGGACGGGCATAAATTCAGCGCATTCAAGTAAATAGAGAGTATAAAACCTGCTGCATACCGGGTACATAGTCAATAACAAACATGTTAATACATAATACTTGTATTATATTTGTGTTAATTCATGACATTATACAATCTATAATATAAAGTTACCCAGTAGAGCAGGTTTATCTAAGAATACAAATAGTGATATCCTTAGCTGTTCTCGGTGACAGTGTGCATTGTAATGGGTCGTTTTCAAACATAATGGCGTAGAGAGGTCATATTATCGTCGCTGTGATTTTACTAAGTTTTTTTTTTCAATTGGAAATAGACATAAATAAGACACCAGTGTCTAGTTTATTGAAGTGAATTTATCAGTTAATGTAAAACTCCAGAAAGCGGTAATCGGTTTACATTTGATGTTGTTTGAATGTATGATAGCTGTACTTCCACCAGCTTAAACAATGGCGACACAGACCAAAACAACACCAGAACTATGTGAACAAGATATTCTAAAAGGTGATGGTAGTCAATCGTGGCAGGAATTCTTAAACGGTACACCGCAACCCTGTCCTCAACACAAAGATGATGTGAAGAATTATTATTGCAAAGAATGTTCGGTAGCGATTTGCTCGCATTGTTTCATTGCTGACCATAATGGGCATTCAAACGTGAACAGAGCGGATATTCTACAGATAGTGAAAGATAATCTAAATCTGTTAAATCAGAATTTAGAAGAAGAAATAATGAAATTAGAGACTTATTGTGGTTTATTAGAAGATAAATTATCCCATGTGGATAGTGTGATTAAACAAATCAGTGATAATATTAATCAACAGGTACAAAATATATGTCGAGAAGTTCAGATTGAGGGTGATGAAATGAAGGCGAGAATGTTGGACATTTTGGCTAAATGTAAACTAAACAAACGGTTAGAAGATACAACCGCAATAATTGTGGATTTGAAATCTACTGTTAATGGTAATAGTGATGCTATAGCAGATAAATATGTTGTACCAGTTTTAGATCAAACAACGATATCCCGAGAACAGAAAGAAAAATGTCGATCTAGAAAGTTGGATTTGTTATGTTTAAATAAAGTTATGTTTAAGGAAGGGCAGATAGATTCAAGAATAATATCAGAACAGATAGGTAGATTAGATATTACAGATAGTGAGGAGAGTGCTATTATAAATAATATCAGAACAGATAGGTAGATTAGATATTACAGATAGTGAGGTGTGTAGTGCTATTGTAAATAATATCAGAACAGATAGGTAGATTAAATATTACAGATAGTGAGGTGTGTAGTGCTATTATAAATAATATCAGAACAGATAGGTAGATTAGATATTACAGATAGTGATGTGTAGTGCTATTATAAATAATATCAGAACAGATAGGTAGATTAGATATTACAGATAGTGATGTGTAGTGCTATTGTAAATAATATCAGAACAGATAGGTAGATTAGATATAACAGATAGTGACGAGAGTGCTATTATAAATAATATCAGAACAGATAGGTAGATTAAATATTACAGATAGTGAGGTGTAGTGCTATTGTAAATAATATCAGAACAGATAGGTAGATTAGATATAACAGATAGTGACGAGAGTGCTATTATAAATAATATCAGAACAGATAGGTAGATTAGATATAACAGATAGTGACGAGAGTGCTATTATAAATAATATCAGAACAGATAGGTAGATTAGATGTGTAGGATAAAGCATGAGACCGAGGTTATGCTGGGGAAAGAAAGACTGAAGAAAATAACGCGAGAAAAAGAAAAACCGAGGCCGGTTTATAGGCACCGTATGTTAAAGGACAATATTGGTGTCAGTCATTATCACATATTTGATAGAACCGGTTAAACACATTCCAAATATATAATTTTAACACGGAGATCATTGCTACGACAGGCGCGTAACTAAGATTTGAAGACACGGAAGTGACGCAAAAATGGAAAACAAGAGATAGAAAGGACCCTCACATTCCCTTGTTTTTATTCATTCTATACTTAATAAAAAAAAAGGTGGCAATGCACGGGCTTTTCTACTTATAATTTCGTGACAGTCAATTTTATCTGATTTTTTAAAAAAAAAGTGTGAATATATCACCATTACACCGTAATGGTGGTTGAGTTCAAATTTCGTACAAAACGGCCGCCCTCGTATAACGCAAATGGTGTAAATATGTGGTATATCAAGGTTGTAGACCCTCTAGAGGCCACAATATTTTTCCGATTTTGATGCAACATTAAATTTTATGCTTATATCACGAAGGTCTTGGTTCCTTTCGATATTCGCGTTTAACTTCCCGAATTATGGCCCTTAGTCGTATGAAAAATTGCGTTTTAAGCTTGTGGTCCCTCTAGAGTTAACAATTTTTATCCAACGCTTATGGTGTAAAAATAATTATAGTATATCAAGGTTGTGCATGACTCTCTAGAGGTCACAATTTTCACCCGATAAAAAAAATAAAGGTGGCAATGCACGGGCTTTTCTACTTATAATTTCGTGACAGTCAATTTTAGTGACAGTCAATTCATTTTATGAATTGTCAGATATCCTCTCACAGCCTCCCGTCTTCATTAGCCCAGTTTAGGAGCAGAACAGTAGAACGTTAAACCCCATTTCATTTCATTTCCTCTCATAGGCTCGCATAACAAATTTTGGTCTTCGAAGGAATTGTTAGTGAGAAGTAATTCGATCGTATATCTGTTATCACCGGTTACTCACCGGTTACTTCAGTCAGTTATATAGAAGGATAACTCTTGTGTTCCATTGTTTATATCACTTCCGTTTCTTCAAATCTTCGTTACGCACCATCGTAACAGATCGCTGTGTTCAAATTATATTTGGAACGTGTTTAACGAGTTCTATCACATATGTGATAATGGCCGACATTAGTATTGTCCTTTAAGTCTTGTTTAGATAATTTAGCATTTTACAAGGAGTAACATAAGTAACTATCTTTCCGCAAACTTGATGTAAAAATTTATAAAGAAGTTTGTCTTTATAAGAATTAAAAGTTTAGTTTATCCAGGGAATCATATACATGAAATATAAATGAAAAACTCGTGGAAACATATTTGTCGGGGCTTAGATGTTGTTGTCACAAACTAGTATTGAAACAGGCATGTGTCGGAATCTTGACAGACACGAAGGACTATGTTTATATTGTAGTATGTGCTGTTATAGTAGGTCCACTTTATTCTAGACTTAGAGATATGAAACAGAAGCCCCATGATTATATTAAAAGATATATGGACCTAATAAATATCACAACTATTCATTTAGCTCAGTGGTTCTCAACCTTTTTTTTGCCAACGGCACTCCTTGGAACATATGAAAAAATAGCGGCACACCTGGCTAAATATATATATGAGAAATATTTGAATTTTGCACACAAAAAAAATAGTCATAGACACATAGAATGACTCAAACTAAAAAAAGAAAAACACAGCTATAACGTACCAGTAGATACCAGTGAATACTCAGTTGGGATCACGTGGGTTATCACATTTTCTTAGTGTGCGTTTCAAAATTTCGCGGCACACTTAGGAAGATCTCGCAGCACACCTGTGTGCCGCGGCACACTGGTTGAGAATCGCTGATTTAGCTCAATATGTTGACGAATGTATGAGATCGAAGAAAAATTAAATTTAACTATTTATGTAGGGGTATAGCATAGTTTATATATTTAAATGATTCACTAATTATTTTTAATATGTTACAGTATATATATACATATATAAGATTTACTAATTATTTTAAATATGTTCCAGTCTATATTTATAAGATTTACTAATTATTTTAAATATGTTACAGTCTATATTTATAAGATTTACTAATTATTTTAAATATGTTACAGTCTATATTTATAAGATTTACTAATTATTTTAAATATGTTACAGTCTATATTTATAAGATTTACTAATTATTTTAAATATGTTACAGTCTATAATATACATATATAAGATTTACTAATTACTGTATACATGTATATGCTATAGTTTATAATTTTATATCAATTGAAATGAAATGAAATGAAATGGGGTTTAACGTCCTACTGTTCTGCTCCAACTGGGCTAATGAACACGGACATACGCCATACAGTGTGCTATGAGGGAAATGTTACAGTATATATATACATATATAGGATTTACTAATTATTTTAAATATGTTACAGTATATATTTATAAGATTTACTAATTATTTTAAATATGTTACAGTATATATTTATAAGATTTACTAATTATTTTAAATATGTTACAGTATATATTTATAAGATTTACTAATTATTTTAATTTAATTAAAATCCCGATAAACTTTCTCGGCTAATGCAGGGATCGATATCATTTATTAATTACTGTAATGTTATAGTTTACGTTTATATGCCTACTAATGTTAGATTTTTAGACTTTTAAATGTTTACCGCAAAATTTATAATTGTAGCATGTTGAAACAAAATTTCAGTTTTAACAATAACATAAGAATAAAATATTAAGCTAGACATTTTAGTCATCTGTTCACTTTTCACAATAGAAGCTGTCCTCACTTCCACCTGTTACGTGTCATGGCATATCTGAGATTTTACAAGCGAGGACACGTAAGTTTGCCCACGGTCCATGCCCCTTGTGGGAATCTTAATCCTTAAAAAATGTGTATTGATAATGTGCTGATATCCCAGCCAAGACGAGGCGTGTGAAAACGTCCGAGTATTACTGGACTCGTCACCAGGACACACTGAAAGCCTAGGGTAGATCATCTCCAATAGAAGGCTTGATCTCGCTTTAACTCCGTACATCTTATCAAGCCCTGTACGTAATACCCTGCATATTCCGACACTGTTTTCGATTGGCTACTGACCTACCAGATTCCTTGATCATCCGGAATAATCGAGTGATAATCGAGTTGCAAAGTTCAAGGTTCGTTCAATGTCAAGGTTTAAGTGGTGGTCGCCATGTTTGACTTGAGTGTATTTGTATCACAACGTCTGGGCGCTATCGTTTACGTGTCTACGTTAAAGGGCGATAATGTAGCTATAACTTAGGGAATTGCAGACCACCTAGCAACGTCTAAATCATATAAAACTCGCGGTCGTTGCTTCAGTAATATATATGTTACTCTGAATAGATGCATTGCATAAAACTTGCCAGATGTTTTCATTGTATATTTTTTGTGACCAGATCTCCAACATTACCTGAGCAATAAGGTTCCTTCGAAAACACAGAATTGAACCCAAGAAATGATCTCGAAAATGCAACCTGACTTCTGAGATGGTAATGTGTTCTCCGTGATTTTCATGTAACTCATGCTGCACGTGCTGTTCACCGGTACCAGCCCTATAAAATGCACCCCCATACCTGGTTGAATCATTCACACTACAACGTCAGCAGCATGCCACGAATTACGACATCTCAGAGGAACCAAGCGGCGCTTGGAAGACTCGACGCTGGCCACACTGCCAATGCCGTTGTCAATCACTTCCAGGTCAATGTTCATACCAAGGGTTACCACAAGGCGACAAAATCGCCATGTTGTGCAACAGCACCTGCAGAATCCCTTCACACAGGCACGGGAGGCAGCACGTCAGACAGTGGGAACACACGGATGACCCATCAGTACGTCTCACCAGAGAGAACCTCAATTGCCATCGACGTGAACGTCTACAGTTTGCCCAACAACACCAGAACTGTCGACACAGGCAACGGAGAACTGTTCTGTTCACAGATTACAGTCGGTATTGCGTATAAACTGCAGGACCAGAATATGGCTTTGACATGGCCAGCGTTACTATGACCAATGTGTCATGGAACGAGACTCATAGGGAGGTCTAAGCATAATGGTTTGGGGTAGAATCGGCCTGAACCAGAGAGTGGGTCCTGTGGTGTTCCAAAATCTTGGTCCAGTGAGATGAGGTACTCGGGACTTTCTACAGTAGAACGGTGTCAACGTTATACACTGGTCAGCCTTTAGTCCGGACTTAAACGTGATTGAACATCTTTGGAATGAAATTCAGAGAAAAGGGTCCAATTGTAGAGGGCTAATTTAGGAGAACGTTTTGACAATCACTTAAAACGAAAGAAAATTTTGAACATTAGCCAAATTGGACAAGTTCCTCGTCTCATACAGGTTAGTAATCTTTAACTTTCTTTTTACAATTTTATTCAGATAGAGACAATTAAAAGCCATATCCGATGGAAGAAAATGACGATTAATTAAAATTCCACAATTTTTTTATTCAATTTTGGCAGCCATTTTGAATTTCTGCCATCATAGATTGCAGTAATGGCGGGTTTGACCGGTGCCACGTAACCTTTGAACTTATGTCACTTCCGGTGCCACGTTACCTTTGAACTTATGTCACTTCCGGTACCAATGAAACCGTTAAACAGATTTCCAAATAAGGATTGCACACGTGTTATAAAATGGACGCAGAATCAACCAAAACCAGCAATTCTATTTATACATTTGTTCCCATGTGTTTAGTGTTACATATGTCAAAAAAGTGATCCTGACAAAATTTGTTACTAACTTACCGCTAAGTGAGCTGATTTTCTAATGGGAAATTTTTTGGACATTTATATGATCGTATTGATCCAATTGGAATCAAATATCATAATGTTAATCAAATAATAATATAACTCACCCCAAAAAATTAATTATGCACAAATATTTTATTTTAGATATTTAATTTTTATGTATTTTAAAGAATGTATAGTTTATAGATTATATAGTTTATTGTTAATGTATATATGTTTGTTAAAGACGTTGAATGAATAATACCCTAATAAGCATAAATCAACCTTGCCGCTGATTGGGTGTCAATAGATCTTAAACAATATTATATAATTGTATACCTGTATCAAAGAGCTTTAATAGAGGGTCCTTTATTGATTGTTTAGCTAAAGGTAATTAAGGAAGATTGATGGTGACAGCTTAAACTTTTAAAACAATACGCTAGGATTAAACTAACGCTATTACTCAGAATGTCGTTACCTGACATATTAAACCAAGCGATTGTAGATTCTAGCTAACCAGACTTCGTATCGAGAAATGGTCTTCCGCCAATCAAAAATGAGTTTAATCCTACACGTGGCATGTTCATTAGTTGCCGGGACTTTTGGAAGACATAAATAATCTTGCTCAAATTCACCATTATCTTCACTTAATAAATTACTAAGAAACAACAATATGGACTTCTCTTATATTCAAGATAACAAACCAACCAAAGAAACCACTTTTGCCATATTTGGAACGTGTTAAACCAGTTCTGTCACATATGTTATAAAATTTGACACCAATACCGCCCTTAAAAGGGATCAGAAATAAAAGTCCGAAATATAGAGGAATGGTTTGTATTTACCTTGTCTCAAAATTTCAGCTCAAAATACTGAGTCGGTTGGACGTGAATGTCAAAACCGCTTATCTGGACACCTAACTCTTTTAAGATTTCGGGTCAGTTTTTTCGTTGGATGACCTGATAATCTATTGCCGTTCCCCTAGAGGTATATACAGTGCATGACCCACGTTTTGTACTTGATAACGAAAGGTACATTTCACCTAAACGTTATTTTTTAAAAATATAAGTCTGGTTTTATCCAGACATCGTATAATACACCTTGGAACACAGGTCTCCACACTGAAAAAAAACTTGTGTTGAAAAAACACAAACTTGTGTTGTTTTCAACACAAGTAAGGTGTCTCTATTTAACAACACAAACTTGTGTTGAAACAACACAAAACTTGTGTTAAATGTTGAAACAACACAAAACTTGTGTTAAAATTTATCAAACAACACAAACTTGTGTTGAAACTTGTGTGAAAATCTACACAATACTTGTGTTGAAATTTTTGAAACTTGTGTTGAAATTTTTGAAACTTGTGTTGAAATTTCTGAAACTTGTGTTGAAATTTCTGAAACTTGTGTTGAAATTTCTGAAACTTGTGTTAAAATTTCTGAAACTTGTGTTGAAATTTCTGAAACTTGTGTGGTTTCATACAAACTTGTGTATAACCATCCACAAAAACTTGTGTTGTGTTTTTCCCCAATTTATATACAGTATAGCAACCTTTTTATGCAGGACCCATCTCTTTGCTCTGTTAGACCTGTAAAGTTTGATAAAAGAAGGAAACAAAATTTGTTTTTGTTTTTGTAAGATTATTATTTATTCATAAAATCATAGGAAAAGGTAAATTAATACATCAAAACTAAATAGATACTTGAAATGTTAACAGAAAAACAGAGAATTCTAATAGTAATTATATTGTGTTATATATAATGACCCCCCCCCCCCCCCCACACACACACACACACACACACACCCCACTTTACCCATCACAAAATATAACATAGCTATTTAAATTGTTCTTAACCCCACACACTTTACCTATCACAAAATATAAAATAGCTATATAAATTGTTCTTTACCCCAAAACAAGAACTGAGAATATAAAGATATGTACACAGTATCCCTACCCCATACTCCAAAATATATAATTCAAATAATATCTAAATTTAATAACATCCAAACCAAGCACTAAGATTAATTATGCACTAAATTGAAACAATTTCAAAAACTGAAAAGTGCTACAAAATCACACTACAAGTGATTTGTGAGACATATAGAAATAACTAATATACACAGAGAACTAACAAAAGAAAAATGCACTATTTTGCAGGAGTAATAAAATGATGTAAAACCTTTTCCTCATTAAAAAAACCCAAACAAAATGAATATTTTGTAAATAAAAGAAGCAAAGCATCAAGATTACAGGATTGAAATAAAAAAATATCATATGTACAAAAAATTTATATACAATCACAAGTCATAAGCCACAGTGGTTCAGTGAGTATAAGGTGTTGGCCGAGAAATTTCAACTGGATTTTCCGGCATAGTTCCCACTTGTCAGTAGTCTTGGATATGGCAAGGGATAATTGGGTACAAGCCCGGAATCGAAAGAGAGAGAGAGAGAAATGGGGTTTAACGTCCACTTGACACAAACTAGGTCATTTCGGGATTAACATATGGTTTAATTTTATTTCAATAATTCGTTGCGCATAGGGGTCTTTAGCAGTGGGATGAAACCGTAGGTCCCGTAGAAAACCCACAAGATTGGACAGGCGACCCTACTCCTTGTCACGTACAACCGGGGATTCGAAACCACGCCAGTTGACTCAATGACAGGCCGTATGATACCGCACGCACATGCTTACCATTCGGCCATCCACCACCCCCTCCCCTATTCCCGGAATCGAAACCATCCCCACTGCGTTCACTTAGAAGAAGCCTTGACAATTGAATTATTTGACTCAATGACAGACTTCCTGATCAAATGTGTGCGTGTTAATCATTGCCCCCCCCCCCCGGGTTCCCGTTAAAGAACCCTGACAGTTGAAATATTTGATATAAGAGTAGGGTGTAGGGCAGAATCACTCTAAGAACACAGAAAAGTAGGATACTAAACCGTATTTCATTTCATTAGCAAGGGAAAGTCACCTTTATGTAGGTCAAGGTTTTTTGTAATTCTGGGTGTATTTGATCTACATTTGGTTTCTAGTAATGCCTATTAAATACTTTATGATTTCTGACCAAATTCTAAGTGATTTATATGCCACTTTACTTGCTATATAATACATACATTTCTGAAGAGAATTAAAATCTAATTGTGTTTTGGAAGAAAATTTAACATTAATAACAAAAAATAAATATTTAAAAATTGGGTCAAATGCATTCTTTCCCAGAAGTATAAAATAAATTGATGCTTGGGTTTTCTTGTTGTTAACATACAGCAAATACTCTTTCAATGGTGTTCCAGCCTAAAAAATAAAAAGTAGGAGATAAGAATACTTTCTATGGTTCACAACGTTTAAATAAACAATTTATTTTGCCACATCGAGACCGAGTCTCTATTTGGTTTCAACTTTGCGTAATGTCTAATTATTTTTGGACCCATTCTTATTTTATTTCCATTGACAACAAATTGGATATTACCCTTTAAAATCTACTGAAATCTATTTGAAAGTAAAATACTGTCCATCATTATTTTACTGCTATTTACTGTAAAAATACACATACATGTAGGGCCTATCGCAACTTGAAGGAAATCAATGGATGTGATTGGCAAAAATCAAGCATGCCAAGTACTTGAAACAGCAGAGTCCTAGGCATTGCCCCAAGAAGAATAACTAGATTACCAAGCAAGTGTATAGAAGTACTTTCTGATTAAAAATACAAATATATATGTTACTTACATTTTGCGTGTTTTCCCCTTGTCAGTGATACAGGACGGAGGACCTGACAAGGACAGCTGTCTAGTCGTTCGGATGGGACGAAAAACCGAGGTCCCGTGTACACATTGGCGTGCACATAAAAGATTCCTTGACAATTGGAATTCGATATAAGAGTAGGCTGTAGCGCCGCTGCCCGGGCAAAATTCCCTTCATAGCACACTGTATGGCGTATGCCCGTCTTCATTAGCTCAATTTATGAGCAAAACAGTAGGATGTTAAACCCCATTTCATTTCATTTTCAAAATTATAAAATAATTTGATGGCTTAATATTCAAAAGGTACAGTCCTTCATGTTTATAAAATTGTACGGGAGCCATAAAAAGCTCCTGATACCTTGAATATATGCAGTTTAAAAGTAAACAAAAATCTCAATATTTAGGAGAGAGAGAGAGAAATGGGGTTTAACGTCCATCCAACCCCCCCACCAAGTGTATAGAACCAGTTCCTGATTTAAAAAGCAAATATGCATGGTACTTACATAGTCTTTGTCTGATAAGCAAGATCTGTGAGAAAACGTTTCACAATATCAATAGCCCTTTCCAACTTGATCTTCCGAGGTGGGTAACTGAAAAAAAAATGGCAATGTATTAGTTGGCTTAAATTGACTAGACAGTTTTGATTAATTAAAAAAATGTTACTTTAATTACATTTGTTTTGTTTCATGTGTTGGTTTGCTTTACCACAGATGAGACAGTGATATCTACATATAACTAAGATTCTGTCTCTGCTCATACATGATGTGTACAGTTTTACTATACTAAACTGAATTTTAGATTTCAAAATAGCATAACAATCTTTTCTATTAGAATTGAATAGTTACCCACCAAGAAAAAGCTGCTCTATCATCATTTTTTCCAGCCATTACTTCTTCCTTTTTTTCTTTTATAATTTCTTTTGTTATTACATGATCTTTTTCTGGGTGATTTGCATATACATCCAATATTGAAACTGAAAAAATAAATACATGACATGTAATTTACGATTAAAGCTACCTTACCATATATACAAACTGTGTGATATGAAATTGAAACTAATGTATCTATATGTATCAAAAGTGTTAATCCCAAGGAACTACCAAGCCGTAAAAGTCTATCTTAATAATCCTTGTTTGTCACATGGTTTCACTGTCGCAGTAATTAGAAGACGGCCATGGTGACTGAGTAAATTAGGTGCTGGCACACTAGCATGGAGGCCAAAGGTTATCTCTTGGGGTTGACCGAGAAAGCTCATCTTGATTTTGCAGAGTGGTTTCCCCTGAGATCCAATGTACACATTGGCGTACACATAAAAGTTCTCTTGGCAGTTTGAATTCGGTATGAGAGTAGGCCATAGTGTCGCTGCCCAGACAAACATTTTCACTTAGCACAATGCATTAGACCAGTCGGAGCTGACCAGTAGGACGTTGTCTTTAAACCCCATTTCATTTCAGGTAATCTAGTATTTTTCTAGTAAGATTGAAGTCTCTCTACTTTCTTTATATGTAAATATCATATTTGAAATAAGTCATACTTTTATTCGATATGGGGTGGGGCTGGGGGGAATGGTCTAGTAGGTAATGCATGCGCATGAAATCACAGGGTCTGTCATTGTGTTAAGTGGCATGGTTTCAATTTCAAGGAGTAGAGTCGCATGTCCAATCTCTTGAGTTTTTTCGCTGGGTCATTCGGTTTCCTCCGTTTTCTAAATACAATTCAATATAAATCAAACACGAAAATACTTTAAAACAGTACTCATGATGCAATATTAGACTTTTTAACACTTTCATCGAAAACCACACAGTTTTTCTCTGTTAACGTAGTTTCAAGTGCCAAATTGTGGTCAAATCTAAAATGTTGAAACATGCAGTGCCTATCAATTTTAAAATATCTCCTATATAGCTGTATTTCCATAGGATAAGTAAGTTGAAATAATCTGATTATGTAACACTACAACAGCTTTTTCATCCCTACCCCCCAGTTTGGAATCTGATAATTTAAAAGCACATGAATTTTGAATTCCACAGAACATTTTTATTTTTGAACATAAATGCATTCTTCAAAAAGATGAGATGAATTCAATATAAATCAAACACGAAAATACTTTAAAACAGTAATCATGATGCAATATTAGACTTTTAACACTTTCATCGAAAACCACACAGTTTTTCTCTTTTAACATAGTTTCAAGTGCCAGATTGTGGTCAAATCTAAAATGTTGAAACATGCAGTGCCTATGAATTTCAAAATATCTCCTATATAGCTGTATTTCCACAGGATAAGTAAGTTGAAATAATCTGATTATGTAACACTACAACAGTTTTTTCATCCCCACCCCCCGGTATGGAATCTGATACATTACTGACCAATCATAGGTCGCCCCGTTCACTCGGGCCTGTCAAATGATTTACAATGGCGATGGTGCCTACAACTTTCCTGACCAAGAGATATGCACATCCGTCGATCAACACACAAGCCATTAATGTTATCTTCCAATATGAGAGGCCATGATAAACACACAAGCGTCCTTTTCAAGCTCGGAAATTAAGTCATCACCAAAAAGCAAAGTTTACAGAGGTCCTCAGGTGTCATAGAGATCAGGGATGAAATTGATATGCATCATCGTTCTCCTAAAGCCAGTCCAGGAAGAGATCAGGTTTTGAGATGTAGACCTGAAATGTTAAATTTGGATGAGAATGAGAATTCTGGGGCGAATGCTATCCAGGGAAATGGTCATTGACATCCAGAAAATGGTCAAAATGTGGAATTCTGTCATTCAGTTAAATGTCAAGGGGAGAAGACAGGCCTGTGCAGTACCAAATTTCCAGCCCATTACTATTCGTCAGCAGAAGTGGGGATGAGGTTGGATGTACTTCTTAAAGTGTATGAAATGCACATTTATCTCACCTGTTTTGCTTCTTTTTTTTTAATACTTGTGTTGAGGTCAATCATTCCACTCTATGAAACATTGCTCTGGCACCTGAAATGATAGGAGGCTGGGGATAAATATGCAATAAAAAACAGTGAGAAAATAAGAAAAAAATATGGTTTCAACTGGAAATAGAAATAAACCTCTTTATTTCTCGCGAACAGCCCGTCACTGGCCCTCCAAAAAGAAACCAGTTAACAATCAGTAAAAAAGTAAACCTTGAGTGTCACATAAGTCTAAGCCAATCTCAAAGGTAGATGCCATGTTTTGAGGTTCGGTCTAAATATTAAGGCCAACTGCATGTTTGGTCAAAAGTCACACAGGTGTGAATTTTGGAGTGTACATGTTAACATTTCATTGTATGATGTCAAAAACATGTTAGGTCTAAATGTTAAGGCCAACTGCAGACTTGGTTCAAGGTCACAACATGTAAATAGGGTTAGGGCACATGATTTTTTGACACAATTGTGGGTTTGGGCTAGGGTCAGAACTAGGTCTTGGCTTAGGCCTAGGCTACATGCTTTTTGACAAGATTGTGGGTTAGGGTTAGGGTAAAAACTGGGTCTTGGGTTAGGGTCAGTCTTGTTTACATCTCGTGACTTTAGACCAAATCTGGAGTTGAGTTGGCCTTAATATTTAGACCTAACCATGTTTTGATATCATTGTGAACAAAATGTTACACATTTACAACCCAAAATTCACACTCAACCAACGGATACCCCCAATCATGGCTATTTTGATACAAAATAGTCAAAAAAATTACTGCTGGGCAATAAAAAAGCAGTATTCTTACCATTTCTGACACTTTCCATTCAAAACTTCAGGAAATAAGCCGTTGAAAAAATATCAACATCCCGAGTCGGCCATGCTTCTTTTTTTCATCAGGAGTCAGACTAGCAATTATTTGCCCATTGACTTCAATGTTAAATGACTGTAACATCACAGGCTGTAGCTTTTTGCTCAACATTCCGTTGGTTCCAATCTTTATAGGCACAATGGGGACAACATTTGGCAATCTCCTCATCATAATTTTGTAGGGGGTTGACCGTTTAGATTTTTTGCTACACGGATTTGAAGTTGACAGGGGTGAAAATCTCACTTCCGACACAATGATTGCTCTGCAGAAAGACACTTTACACCCCCTATCCCTCCGCTGTAATATCATCAGTATTAGCCAAAACTGCTATGAAATTGCAAATTTGATCCCTTTTCTCCAATTCTAGACCAAAAAGTCAACCCAAAAATGCAGGAAGAGGGGAGAAAAAAATTAAGGGAAAAATTGTCTATTTATAACTCGCACTACATTCGACAATCATGAAATAAGGGGAAATAATTACTAGTCTTAGTCCTGACTCCTTTATTAGGGTTGTCTTTCTTGCTTTTATCTTCCATTTATTTACGTTTTTGTTGTCTCAGAGATGGACTATTATTTAAAAAAAAAGTTAAAAATCGTAAAGTTTAGGAAATGTTAATCATATAATGATGAAAAAAAAATAAGAGCATATGATAATAAAAATGTGTTTGAAATTGAAGGCTCTATAATTAGCCTATAATTAAGGTATCAAGACACAGATCACCAAATATTCCTACGCCGTCACCCACAAAACAAGGGCCAAAGCTATTTTTAGTCTTCCTCTCCCTTTTTCCCCCTTTTGCATGGCGATTTTTGTTGACTTTTTGGTGTAGAATTGAGGAAAAGGGTTTGAAAATACATTTTCTGCCAGGTTTTGGTGAATATTCATAATTTTGATGCGGAAGGATACAAGAGTTAAGAGGTTGGTTATGTTGAAAAGTAGGGCCTGAAATTGCATGTTTACTTGTCTCTACTTCCAGCTTGTGTATCTCAAGTTTTTCATGAAGAACCTCATACGTGCTTTTGGGCAAGTGGTTGCCACATGTTGCTCCATCTGTGGTAGAAAGCGTTCTACCCAACGAAAATTTGGGAAAAAGTTAGAGCCGGTCTAAGATACGAGAATTAACATTGGAGTCAATGGGGAAATCTTTAGTGATCTGTGTCCTGTCTGTGTGTGATAAGGCTGTCACTGATATGCCTTAGTTTTGAAAATATGAAGATTAAATTCTCAGAAAATATGAATAAAATAGTTTGGCTACAGAAAAACTAAAAAAAGTTAATTAAAAAAAAAAAAATCAAAGTTTTGAAGAAAAATTGTGATTTTACTGCAAATTTCTCAATTTTCAATTTTTATTGAATTTTTAACAGTAAGTAAAATATTCTAATGCCCAATGTTGGCTTATTCAGTCTCAGAAAGCACAGATAAAATGAACAGTATTGAAATTTCACCAAATTTTGTCTAAAAATCAGGAATATTCACAAAAAATCTTGAGATTCCCCCCATTTGGATGTAGAAATTAATATTTTCATGACTACTAAAATGAGTCAAAATGTCTAAAAATGCCCATATTTTCTTTGCTAATATAACTTAGATGGGATCTACATGTTTGTCAGGTTTAGAAATAGTTCCAGCTTTTCTACAGAAAATTGAAAATTGGTAACACTGAGTTAATAATGTACAGCAGATGGGTTTGTACAAAATGTTCAAAACAGGGGTTGGCTCAATTTTGCCACTATTTTACCCAGAATAAGCATTTTTTTCTTCTTTGAAACATTAAATTCTTGCATTTCCTTCATGTAGGAAGCAATATCCCAGCCTTTCTAGACATTTTTTACTCCATCATTCTGTTTAGAGAGGCAATAAATGCCCCACCCCACCCTTTTCTATTAATGTGTTTTGAGGGATTTAAATGCACCTGTGTTGACATGTAAATGATCTTAATTGGAATTTGTGGTTGAATTACAGCTAAGAATGTTATTTTTCACCCAAAAATATTTTTTTTGTGCATTTCAAGGATTTCTAACCCGTATTTGTTCAGAGTCAAAAGTAGAACCCTGAGGCATTTCAGGCCAATGAGACCAGACCCAGATATAAAACTGGTGTAGATGTGTAAATGTCAGTTTAATGTTCAATATTTTCTTATCAAAATCCAGCATTTGTGGTGTTTGCTGCATTTATTTTGCCTATAAAACAATAAAATGTTAATTTTTCTCCTTTTCAGGCCTCTTTTTATGTTGTCAAGTCTGTCATGACTACTTTTTTGACTTCATTTTTTCAGGAAATTAATGTAAAGTTCCAGACATCTTGTTAGAGAGGGGTGATCATAGACCAAATATGGCATTTTTTTCATTCATCAAGGCCTATTTTTAACCATAATTCATATTTATTGCACCTATTTTAGTTTATATGTGCATATGTTAGCCAGGGATGGTAAAACATAACTGTTAGACAGATTCCTTTGGTAATGTAAGTTCTGCAACCATAGATTAGATTAATTCAATCAGTGGCATGTTCAGGGGGTAGGCATACATGTTTCAGTATAGATCTCTAATATTACAATCATTGCAACTGGTTTGCATTTTTTCTGTTTGCATATTGTCCACAGATTCTAAAAATATATTTCTTGTCCGTCCGGATATTTAAAAAAGTGGAAAATTATTGGTATTTTGAGAGATGCTACATGTAAATTTTGTACATTTTTCATCACATGGCAGTAAAAAATTATATTTTTGAAAAAAATTCCAAATTATGAGTGTTTTCTATGTAGTTTCATTGTTACTTGTCTAATTTTTTCACAGAACTCAGATACTGCCTTTAATAAGAAAGATTTTTAAATTTTAGCACAAAAGGCCTATGGACCTGAGATGTACCAGTGTACATAAAGCAGCATGTGTACTTAAAGGGCCATCATTTTTACAGTTATTCTTTGATTTTGATTTTCTTTCACCGGTATGTTGCCAGAACACATGGGAAGGAAATAAAAAAGGCCTTTTGGTGATTCCTGAAGTTTCACCCCTATATAGGACACAGCTAGATCACCAAATATTCCTACGCCGTCACCCACGAAACAAGGGCCAAAGCTATTTTTAGTCTTCCTCTCCCTTTTCCTTTTTCCCCCTTTTGCATGGCGATTTTTGTTGACTTTTTGGTGTAGAATTGAGGAAAAGGGTTTGAAAATACATTTTCTGCCAGGTTTTGGTGAATATTCATAATTTTGATGCGGAAGGATACAAGAGTTGAGAGGTTGGTTACGTTGAAATGTAGGGCCTGAAATTGCATGTTTACTTGTCTCTACTTCCAGCTTGTGTATCTCAAGTTTTTCATGAAGAACCTCATACGTGCTTTTGTGCAAGTGGTTGCCACATGTTGCTCCATCTGTGGTAGAAAGCGTTCTACCCAACGAAAATTTGGGAAAAAGTTAGAGCCGGTCTAAGATACGAGAATTAACATTGGAGTCAATGGGGAAATCTTTAGTGATCTGTGTCCATCAGTATGGAACGGATCGTAATCGTACGGTATTCACTACGGTCAGACTGATATTTAGGAACGTAAAGTTATCAGTCTGGAACGGATCGTAATCGTGCGGTATTCACTAAGGTCATACTGATATTTAGGAACGTAAAGAAGACCATTTTACTAACCGTCTCTATTTTAAGAAAGAGCAGATATAAATATATGATTATATCGACAGAATCTCCACACGAATCTTTAATTTAGTAGAAGAAGAGCAAGTTGAGCATTGTCGCCATATTTGACCTATTTCTCTATTGGTTGTATATGCATTAAGGCGTGGATCTAACCAACCCGAGTAGCTCATTATTGAGCCGAGAGATTTATGAAATGAAATTGGGGTTTAATGACCCGCATTCCTTCACTATTCAGGCTAATGAACACGAGGCGTTCAAGCCAGCTCTTTATTCACAGAGCCGCCTGGCTCCCCTGAGAGACTTTCACTGACAACTAGTCATTGTCGAGACTAATGATTTTTATCGCCGCTGTTGATCAATATATATATTAAATAATAGCCCGAATTTAAGTATACCAAAAGTTAAAGAAATATAAACCAGTTTTTGAGCCATTCAGATATGACTGCCAAAATTGTAATCAGCGCGCATGTTTTTTGGGCTAAAGTCTAACCATAAAACTTAGTGTCCATACATAATAAATATTTTATTCCATTAATCAATTCCATTCCGCCATTGGTTTGTCTTAAACTCGTCATTTGTGTTCATGGGCATCAGGGTCGAGATGGCAACGTTATATGTTTTATTCGTCTAATTTACTATAAAACATCATTCGGTTTGCCTCACGGGTTAACGGCATATTAATAGCTTTATTCACTGAGATGGTTCCTTTACTTATAGTTTATTTTTCGAATTGCTTTTTGTATTTATTTAAATGGAAATATTTAGCACCTTCTTGTTAAACCGTTGAAAGATTTAAAATTTGGATTAATGTTAAGAGAGTGTGGGTCAAAGATGCCGCTGGCAGAGTGTGTATAGGGTGTTAAAGTTTAAAAGTTATTCCCTACAAGGTGGTTCTACGGTTCTTACCATAGAATTCAGCTGTGAAATAACACAGTTTCTTTCATTATGTGTACAACAATAAAACTAGTTCAATTGCAAGTTGTCTAAACCACGGTGCTGTGATGTATGCATCTAAATGTTTCGACGACCCACCAATCAGTAGTTGCATGATGATTAAATTTATCGGACATGGAATGTGAAAATGCTTTGGAACTTTTAACTGTAACACGTTGCAATAATTACTCAATATAAGCCAAAAGGATCCGCCTTGTTCATTTATAGTCCGGCCCTGTCTTCAGTATTAAAATATAAAATTGAACACAAAGTATATTTAGTAATCCGTATTGTAGTAATGGCAATCACGGCTTGTGTTTTTTTGTTTTGTTTTTTGTTGTTTGTTTTTTTTTGCAAAATATAAAATAATTACGATGTCGTTTAACACTCACAATAACATATTTGGTTACCGGCCATTCAGCCATTCAGGTCGTACATGTGTCAAGTATACAGTCATATATACAAACGCCTAACTATAGAAGCCTACCATTCTTAATTTCTACTTTTCGCCCTCCAAAACACGAAAGTCGAAAAGTAGCAGTTACGACAAAATGTGAGGCGACAGCAACGCTATACAAGCCAAAATCGACTCGAAAATAGGAAATCAAGAAATAATACACTGCGATAATAGCGCCCCTCGTTTTTTTTCCTAATTTCTTATTTTCGACTTGCATTTTGGCTTGTATACCGTCTTGTTGACTTTCGACTTAGTCATATTTTTGTATTTATTGATGTCAGTAAGATGTTACTATGGAGAACGTAAATTTCAGATTATACATTCCAGACTTCGTAATTGTAAAAGTGCTCTAAACTTCCATAGATTTTTAATGCATATTTCACATAACCCGACATGCAGTTGTGGTCATACTCAAGAAGACAGCGACCATTATTTTCTGCACTGCCCAAATTATTCGTCTCAGCGTATCTCAACATTAAATACCCTCCCATTTAAATCCATAAATACAAAAGCGTTCCTATATGGCGATACCAACGAAAGTAACCCGTTCAACAAAGTGAGTTTTAGTAAAGTTCACAAGTATTTAAAACTAAACAAGCGCTTTGAATAGATAAGGTAATTGTCAGGCGACGATGATTGGTGTTAAATAGTGATGATGACGATGATGATGACGATGATGATGACCATGAAGATGATTTATTTATATATTTATTTATATACTAGAAGAATGCCCGGCTTCGCTCGGGGGTCATAACTCCGAAACCGGAAGTGGTAGACTAACGCCACCTGGCCTATGTTACTCCCCGGTCCGAGCTACCCCTATACCCCAAATTTCAGACTCGGAAATTACAACGTGAATGATGGATCAGTCGAACGACAGAGTGAATGCCAGGAGTTTTCCAGTCGAATAATAAAGATAATGGCAACTCTGGTCATAGCATATCTGTTTATAATATATTTCATATAAATGTTTATACACGTATTTGAAAATACATTTAGGTCTACGTGTAATGTTGAATGTATAAATTCGGAAATGTTTTGATCTCTTGAACTGTATTATTTAAAATACACGATTAACGTATTAAATTGTAAATAATGAATCAAGCCAAGACATGTATTAAATGTTTTAAATGTTTTATTGAATTGGAATAGAAACTGAAAACAGATTAACACCCTGTGTGAGATATTTCATTCAAATATTGTGAAAGGGTTGGTAATAAAATTAAAATTGTCATTGTGGCATTTTAATAACATTGAATCGTCCTATTCTGTTACGTAGTCGTCTCAACATATTGTTGTCATGGGTTACTTCTGCTAAACAACTCAATAGAAACGAGTAAAGTATTATAAACGAAATTATGTCTAAAGAGTTCTTCATGACATGTATTGACTGTAAGACACAAAGCGTACAGGATCTAAGTGTGATGTTAAAGGTCAACACGCAAATATTGAAATTGGGTATGTTCGTGGATTGACTTATAGAATGTTGTTAATATTTCCATTTAAATAAATACAAAAAGCAATTCGAAAAATAAACTATAAGTAAAGGAACCATCTCAGTGAATAAAGCTATTAATATGCCGTTAACCCGTGAGGCAAACCGAATGCTGTTTTATAGTAAATTAGACGAATAAAACATATAACGTAGCCATCTCGACCCTGATGCCCATGAACACAAATGACGAGTTTAAGACAAACCAATTGCGGAATGGAATTGATTAATGCAATATATATTTTATTATGTATAGGCATACGGGCTTGATCAATGCTGGGTTGGGGGAAGAACCTGAAATGCCCGAAACATTTTTCGGGTTACAGACGGCGTGGGAGTCGAGCTTACAGTGTAGGATCCCCCCCCCCCCCACGCAAAGAAAATTTGGAAAATTTGACGGCCGCAAACGCGTTTTCATGCTATTCTAACGTACAGCAAGTTCAAATTTGTCCAATATAGCCTACCTTAGGTGACTTACCAGAATCCAAAGTCCCAAAACAAGCAATCAATCAAACTATCCAATCAGACAGTTGCAGCTGCATTCACAAATAATAAACGGTGTCCTAAAAATGTCGCCCAAAGTAAGGTGACTCCAGACAACATGTTTTAATTCAGTACAAATTTGTAAAAATCGTTTACTCTTGTTGTATATATTATGGAAACTATAAGGTCACTTGTCTTTAACAGAATACACTAAAAGCCTTTCCTTGATCACACACTAATTTCAGATCTCCCATGACCTTTCCCCTTAATCTTGGAATCACGGTGGTTCAGTGAGTAGGGCGCTGGCTCACACATCAAAAAATCTCGGTATTGCCTAAGAATGTGCATGTTGATTTTACAGCGTGGTTTCATCAGAGGTCCGATGTACACGTTGGCGTGCACGAAACGGAACCCTTGGCAGCTGGAATTTGAAATAAGAGTAGACCGCTATATCGCTGTTAGGGCGAAAGTTCCCCCATATCTCTGCACACGACTCCATTGATGCAGAAAAGTAGCTTGCTTGATAAACTATGTCTTAGATTAAATAACCTAGGCCTGTCCCCAAAACAGATTGTCACCAGGAACATTCAAATAACGACATATAATAATAATAATTTTAAAATGTGATTTAAGTTTGAATATTAGTAGATTAATGTGGATTTGGGTAGATTTGTGTGTGTTTGGGTAAATTGGGCTATTAGTGCTAGTCGGTGAACATGCGTTTGAATTGAAGTGAGAAGTCAACTCAACGAGAAGCTGAGGGCGAGAAGTCGAGCGAACGAGGGCGAGAAGTCGTGGGAAATAATCTCGTCTTGAAGTGGTGAGATCCTCGCCCTGTTTCATCGCGTTTTCGCCCTCTCGATATCGACGTCTCGAGATTATAATATGGTTACGTGCCATCTCTGTGCAACAAGAACAATATATGGTTAGTCACGTGTCATCTCTATGCAACAGGAACAATATAATGTTACCCGCCCAAACCGGTTAATCTAGTTAGGAATATTCTAGTGGGTCTGGCTTTGAAGTGAATCTATCAGTTAATGTATAACTCTAGAATACGATGACAGGTCAAAACTGTTTGGATGTAATATTGCTAAGTGAATAGGTTATATTGCTATATACGATTTCAACAGTTAATGTGAAGCTCCAGATAAAACTGATAGGTTAAAATTTCAATACTGGCAACTGTGTAAGTTACATTTATTGCTAAATATGAACTAGCATGTCATAATAGTTTGCGTAACGACCTATAATGAACATATAGACTGATATGTATCGAGTGCGTTCATCTGAATTGATATATTCTAGTTTGTAAAACAGATCAACAAATTGCTGTGGATAAGTTTGTACACTTTTAATAAATAACTGTGATATATAGCAGTGTATATTTATAATGTCACACTATGGTCGGACCAGGTGATGTGATAGTTATATGGATTGTTACATTATATAATATTACCTGATTAACAAACATTACGGAACTATTGGTCGTGCTGAGGCGTAATGTCTAACATTGATAGTCCAATTTCAAGGGTATATTAACAAAATGGCTGAAGAAAGAAATCAAGATTGCGTTTTTTGTTTAGACGACTTTGTTGACCCCAAAATACTTGACTGTCAACATTCGTTCTGTTTGAAATGTCTAGACGATTATATCACAAGTTCTTCTGAAAACAACCAATTTCAATGTCCAGTGTGTCGTCGTCTTGTTCAAATTCCCGCAGGTGGAGTCAACGATTTTCCCTCACCAAAAGTTTCTCCGACAGAAATTACAACTCATATGTGCCCTGCCCACAACGACAAGCCAGTTGGTTGTTTCTGTCAGGACTGTTTTCAATCGGTGTGTTATGTTTGTGCTTCTACCACCCATAGAGGGCACATATTCTTAGACTTAGAGGATACATCAGAACCCGGACCTGAAGGACTAGACATTAATAAGGATAGGTGTCCTAAACACAAACATACCATAAAGAATTATTATTGCAAACAATGCTCGGCACTGGTCTGTGCTGATTGTTTTATTGCTGACCATAATGGACATCCATTTGTAAATCAAAAGGAACTAAGAGACAATCTAAGATGTTTAAATGAAGATTTAAAAAATGAAGTAAGTAAATTAGAAACTTACTATGAGTCATTAACGACCGGGGTTTCACAAACTGAAAAACTGGCTAAAGAAACCAGTGATAGTATTGATCAACAGGTTAAAGAAATATGCCGCGAAGTTGAGAGACTGGGCGAGGCAATGAAGACCAGGATGTTGAAAGGTTTGGATGAGGGTAAAACAAAAGTAGATACACAAAAGAAGGACACTTCAGACTTTGTTGAACGTTTGAAATTGAATGTTATCGATAATGATAGGGTTTTACAGGATAAATATGTTGGACCACTTTTAGTGCAAACCAACAAATCTAGAACACAAAAGAAAGAATGTAGTTCTAGAAAGTTGGACGTTTTATCTTTACCTGGAGTCCTGTTTGAGGCTGGAAATATAAATAAAGTCCAATTATCTAAAGCGATAGGTAGATTATATATTATAAATACTGTAAGTGGTAGTTTTAATGTAAATAAGGTTCCAATATGGGGATGGTTGAGTCCTAAGTGGTGTTATAGTCCTGAGCAGACTATTAATGGTTTAAAATCGTTTATTAGAGTTTGTAGAGATAGCTCAATGTTATATGTTGAGTGGCATATAAATCGCTATCCCACAGGTAATATTCGTCAAGTATCATTTAAATTGATTAATCATAAAGACGAAAAAGCGACTAAGATAGAAAAGAACAAACCTTTAGAAAAGAACAAACCTTTGAAAAACACCGAAGACTGGCGCATATTGACAAATCCCAACAATGGATTCCTGATTGAACAAAATAACTTCATCGTGCAGTATGAAATTGAACTGGATACAGAATAAACTTATCTTACTCCATTATATTACGTGTATTGTTGCGCGTGTTGTATATAGTCGCTCATATGTTTATAGGCACCGTATGTTAAAGGACAATATTGGTGTCAGTCATTATCACATATTTGATAGAACCGGTTAAACACATTCCAAATATATAATTTTAACACGGAGATCATTGCTACGACAGGCGCGTAACGAAGATTTGAAGACACGGAAGTGACGCAAAAATGGAAAACAAGAGATAGAAAGGACCCTCACATTCCCTTGTTTTTATTCATTCTATACTTAATAAAAAAAGGTGGCAATGCACGGGCTTTTCTACTTATAATTTCGTTTTTTCTTAATTAGTGACAGTCAATTCCTTTTATGAATTGTCAGATATCCTCTCACAGCCTCCCGTCTTCATAAGCCCAGTAGGACGTTAAACCCCATTTCATTTCATTTCCTCTCACAGCCTCGCATAACAAATTTTGGTCTTCGAAGGAATTGTTAGTGAGAAGAAATTCGATCGTATATCTGTTATCACCGGTTACTTCAGTCAGTTATATAGAAGAATAACTCTTGTTTTCCATTGTTTATATCACTTCCGTTTCTTCAAATCTTCGTTACGCACCATCGTAACAGATCGCTGTGTTCAAATTATATTTGGAACGTGTTTAACGAGTTCTATCACATATGTGATAATGGCCGACATTAGTATTGTCCTTTAAGTCTTGTTTAGATAATTTAGCATTTTACAAGGAGTAACATAAGTAACTATCTTTCCGCAAACTTGATGTAAAAATTTATAAAGAAGTTTGTCTTTATAAGAATTAAAAGTTAAGTTTATCCAGGGAATCATATACATGAAATATAAATGAAAAACTCGTGGAAACATATTTGTCGGGGCTTAGATGTTGTTGTCACAAACTAGTATTGAAACAGGCATGTGTCGGAATCTTGACAGACACGAAGGACTATGTTTATATTGTAGTATGTGCTGTTATAGTAGGTCCACTTTATTCTAGACTTAGAGATATGAAACAGAAGCCCCATGATTATATTAAAACATATATGGACCTAATAAATGTCACAACTATTCATTTAGCTCAGTGGTTCTCTACATTTTTTTTGCCAACGGCACTCCTTGGAGCACATGAAAAAATAGCGGCACACCTGGCTAAATATATATATGAGAAATATTTGAATTTTGCACACAAAAAAACAACAAACAAACATGGTAAGTCAGACGGAATACAACCGAACACAAAGACTAGTCATACACACATAGAATGACTCAAACTAAAAAAAGAAAAACACAGCTATGAACGTACCAGTAGATACCAGTGAATACTCAATTGGGATCACGTGGGTTATCACATTTTCTTAGTGTGCGTTTCAAAATTTCGCGGCACACTTAGGAAGATCTCGCAGCACACTTGTGTGCCGCGGCACACTGGTTGAGAATCGCTGATTTAGCTCAATATGTTGACGAATGTATGAGATCGAAGAAAAATTAAATTTAACTATTTATGTAGGGGTATAGCATAGTTTATATATTTAAATGATTCACTAATTATTTTTAATATGTTACAGTATATATATACATATATAAGATTTACTAATTATTTTAAATATGTTCCAGTCTATATTTATAAGATTTACTAATTATTTTAAATATGTTACAGTCTATTTATAAGATTTACTAATTATTTTAAATATTTTACAGTCTATATTTATAAGATTTACTAATTATTTTAAATATGTTACAGTCTATATTTATAAGATTTACTAATTATTTTAAATATGTTACAGTCTATAATATACATATATAAGATTACTAATTACTGTATACATGTATATGTTATAGTTTATAATTTTATATCAATTGAAATGAAATGAAATGAAATGGGGTTTAACGTCCTACTGTTCTGCTCCAACTGGCCTAATGAACACGGACATACGCCATACAGTGTACTATGAGGGAAATGTTACAGTATATATATACATATATAGGATTTACTAATTATTTTAAATATGTTACAGTATATATTTATAAGATTTACTAATTATTTTAAATATGTTACATTATATATTTATAAGATTTACTAATTATTTTAAATATGTTACAGTATATATTTATAAGATTTACTAATTATTTTAAATATGTTACAGTATATATTTATAAGATTTACTAATTATTTTAAATATGTTACAGTATATATTTATAAGATTTACTAATTATTTTAAATATGTTACAGTATATATTTATAAGATTTACTAATTATTTTAATTTAATTAAAATCCCGATAAACTTTCTCGGCTAATGCAGGGATCGATATCATTTATTAATTACTGTAATGTTATAGTTTACGTTTATATGCCTACTAATGTTAGATTTTTAGACTTTTAAATGTTTACCGCAAAATTTATAATTGTAGCATGTTGAAACAAAATTTCAGTTTTAACAATAACATAAGAATAAAATATTAAGCTAGACATTTTAGTCATCTGTTCACTTTTCACAATAGAAGCTGTCCTCACTTCCACCTGTTACGTGTCATGGCATATCTGAGATTTTACAAGCGAGGACACGTAAGTTTGCCCACGGTCCATGCCCCTTGTGGGAATCTTAATCCTTAAAAAATGTGTATTGATAATGTGCTGATATCCCAGCCAAGACGAGGCGTGTGTAAACGTCCGAGTATTACTGGACTCGTCACCAGGACACACTGAAAGCCTAGGGTAGATCATCTCCAATAGAAGGTTTGATCTCGTCTTAATTCCGTACATCTTATTAAGCCCTGTACGTAATACCCTGCATATTCTGACGCTGTTTTCGATTGGCTGCTGACCTACCAGATTCCTTGATCATCCCGAATACCAAGTCTTGCGCTTTCCAGCAAAAATGTCTACCTGTGATAATCGAGTTGCAAAGTTCAAGGTTCGTTCAATGTCAAGGTTTAAGTGGAGGTCGCCATGTTTGACTTGTGTGTATTTGTGCCACAACGTATGTGCGCTATCGTTTATGTGTCTACGTTAAAGGGCGATATCGACGTCTCGAGATTATAATATGGTTACGTGCCATCTCTGTGCAACAAGAACAATATATGGTTAGTCACGTGTCATCTCTATGCAACAGGAACAATATAATGTTACCCGCCCAAACCGGTTAATCTAGTTAGGAATATTCTAGTGGGTCTGGCTTTGAAGTGAATCTATCAGTTAATGTATAACTCTAGAATACGATGACAGGTCAAAACTGTTTGGATGTAATATTGCTAAGTGAATAGGTTATATTGCTATATACGATTTCAACAGTTAATGTGAAGCTCCAGATAAAACTGATAGGTTAAAATTTCAATACTGGCAACTGTGTAAGTTACATTTATTGCTAAATATGAACTAGCATGTCATAATAGTTTGCGTAACGACCTATAATGAACATATAGACTGATATGTATCGAGTGCGTTCATCTGAATTGATATATTCTAGTTTGTAAAACAGATCAACAAATTGCTGTGGATAAGTTTGTACACTTTTAATAAATAACTGTGATATATAGCAGTGTATATTTATAATGTCACACTATGGTCGGACCAGGTGATGTGATAGTTATATGGATTGTTACATTATATAATATTACCTGATTAACAAACATTACGGAACTATTGGTCGTGCTGAGGCGTAATGTCTAACATTGATAGTCCAATTTCAAGGGTATATTAACAAAATGGCTGAAGAAAGAAATCAAGATTGCGTTTTTTGTTTAGACGACTTTGTTGACCCCAAAATACTTGACTGTCAACATTCGTTCTGTTTGAAATGTCTAGACGATTATATCACAAGTTCTTCTGAAAACAACCAATTTCAATGTCCAGTGTGTCGTCGTCTTGTTCAAATTCCCGCAGGTGGAGTCAACGATTTTCCCTCACCAAAAGTTTCTCCGACAGAAATTACAACTCATATGTGCCCTGCCCACAACGACAAGCCAGTTGGTTGTTTCTGTCAGGACTGTTTTCAATCGGTGTGTTATGTTTGTGCTTCTACCACCCATAGAGGGCACATATTCTTAGACTTAGAGGATACATCAGAACCCGGACCTGAAGGACTAGACATTAATAAGGATAGGTGTCCTAAACACAAACATACCATAAAGAATTATTATTGCAAACAATGCTCGGCACTGGTCTGTGCTGATTGTTTTATTGCTGACCATAATGGACATCCATTTGTAAATCAAAAGGAACTAAGAGACAATCTAAGATGTTTAAATGAAGATTTAAAAAATGAAGTAAGTAAATTAGAAACTTACTATGAGTCATTAACGACCGGGGTTTCACAAACTGAAAAACTGGCTAAAGAAACCAGTGATAGTATTGATCAACAGGTTAAAGAAATATGCCGCGAAGTTGAGAGACTGGGCGAGGCAATGAAGACCAGGATGTTGAAAGGTTTGGATGAGGGTAAAACAAAAGTAGATACACAAAAGAAGGACACTTCAGACTTTGTTGAACGTTTGAAATTGAATGTTATCGATAATGATAGGGTTTTTACAGGATAAATATGTTGGACCACTTTTAGTGCAAACCAACAAATCTAGAACACAAAAGAAAGAATGTAGTTCTAGAAAGTTGGACGTTTTATCTTTACCTGGAGTCCTGTTTGAGGCTGGAAATATAAATAAAGTCCAATTATCTAAAGCGATAGGTAGATTATATATTATAAATACTGTAAGTGGTAGTTTTAATGTAAATAAGGTTCCAATATGGGGATGGTTGAGTCCTAAGTGGTGTTATAGTCCTGAGCAGACTATTAATGGTTTAAAATCGTTTATTAGAGTTTGTAGAGATAGCTCAATGTTATATGTTGAGTGGCATATAAATCGCTATCCCACAGGTAATATTCGTCAAGTATCATTTAAATTGATTAATCATAAAGACGAAAAAGCGACTAAGATAGAAAAGAACAAACCTTTAGAAAAGAACAAACCTTTGAAAAACACCGAAGACTGGCGCATATTGACAAATCCCAACAATGGATTCCTGATTGAACAAAATAACTTCATCGTGCAGTATGAAATTGAACTGGATACAGAATAAACTTATCTTACTCCATTATATTACGTGTATTGTTGCGCGTGTTGTATATAGTCGCTCATATGTTTATAGGCACCGTATGTTAAAGGACAATATTGGTGTCAGTCATTATCACATATTTGATAGAACCGGTTAAACACATTCCAAATATATAATTTTAACACGGAGATCATTGCTACGACAGGCGCGTAACGAAGATTTGAAGACACGGAAGTGACGCAAAAATGGAAAACAAGAGATAGAAAGGACCCTCACATTCCCTTGTTTTTATTCATTCTATACTTAATAAAAAAAGGTGGCAATGCACGGGCTTTTCTACTTATAATTTCGTTTTTTCTTAATTAGTGACAGTCAATTCCTTTTATGAATTGTCAGATATCCTCTCACAGCCTCCCGTCTTCATAAGCCCAGTAGGACGTTAAACCCCATTTCATTTCATTTCCTCTCACAGCCTCGCATAACAAATTTTGGTCTTCGAAGGAATTGTTAGTGAGAAGAAATTCGATCGTATATCTGTTATCACCGGTTACTTCAGTCAGTTATATAGAAGAATAACTCTTGTTTTCCATTGTTTATATCACTTCCGTTTCTTCAAATCTTCGTTACGCACCATCGTAACAGATCGCTGTGTTCAAATTATATTTGGAACGTGTTTAACGAGTTCTATCACATATGTGATAATGGCCGACATTAGTATTGTCCTTTAAGTCTTGTTTAGATAATTTAGCATTTTACAAGGAGTAACATAAGTAACTATCTTTCCGCAAACTTGATGTAAAAATTTATAAAGAAGTTTGTCTTTATAAGAATTAAAAGTTAAGTTTATCCAGGGAATCATATACATGAAATATAAATGAAAAACTCGTGGAAACATATTTGTCGGGGCTTAGATGTTGTTGTCACAAACTAGTATTGAAACAGGCATGTGTCGGAATCTTGACAGACACGAAGGACTATGTTTATATTGTAGTATGTGCTGTTATAGTAGGTCCACTTTATTCTAGACTTAGAGATATGAAACAGAAGCCCCATGATTATATTAAAACATATATGGACCTAATAAATGTCACAACTATTCATTTAGCTCAGTGGTTCTCTACATTTTTTTTGCCAACGGCACTCCTTGGAGCACATGAAAAAATAGCGGCACACCTGGCTAAATATATATATGAGAAATATTTGAATTTTGCACACAAAAAAACAACAAACAAACATGGTAAGTCAGACGGAATACAACCGAACACAAAGACTAGTCATACACACATAGAATGACTCAAACTAAAAAAAGAAAAACACAGCTATGAACGTACCAGTAGATACCAGTGAATACTCAATTGGGATCACGTGGGTTATCACATTTTCTTAGTGTGCGTTTCAAAATTTCGCGGCACACTTAGGAAGATCTCGCAGCACACTTGTGTGCCGCGGCACACTGGTTGAGAATCGCTGATTTAGCTCAATATGTTGACGAATGTATGAGATCGAAGAAAAATTAAATTTAACTATTTATGTAGGGGTATAGCATAGTTTATATATTTAAATGATTCACTAATTATTTTTAATATGTTACAGTATATATATACATATATAAGATTTACTAATTATTTTAAATATGTTCCAGTCTATATTTATAAGATTTACTAATTATTTTAAATATGTTACAGTCTATTTATAAGATTTACTAATTATTTTAAATATGTTACAGTCTATATTTATAAGATTTACTAATTATTTTAAATATGTTACAGTCTATATTTATAAGATTTACTAATTATTTTAAATATGTTACAGTCTATAATATACATATATAAGATTACTAATTACTGTATACATGTATATGTTATAGTTTATAATTTTATATCAATTGAAATGAAATGAAATGAAATGGGGTTTAACGTCCTACTGTTCTGCTCCAACTGGCCTAATGAACACGGACATACGCCATACAGTGTACTATGAGGGAAATGTTACAGTATATATATACATATATAGGATTTACTAATTA